CATGGGTCCGAACCTGTCCATCAACCCCAGGAACATCTGATGAGACTGAAGACAGACAGAGACATCTGCTATGGCCAGCGGTATGATCCAGTTATCTGTAGTTATAATGAATTGGAGAAATCTGGGATAAAAGGACTGGTATTGGACTGAAGTTAAGAGTTGCTAGTACAGCAACAGTTTGTAAAGTTGGGTCAAACATGTACACTCCATGGTTCCAAGAAGTAAAACTATAGATACTGAATCACAATTCACTTCGCACACTTTACTTTTCACTGGTTATGTTGTATATAAAAAAATAATTAAAAGTAACAAGGGCTGTCCACAAGGTCAAATATTTGGAACATACAAATCCACTCTTTACACAGTCAAAACTACTGAACTCACTGACATCGTATCATACCAAACATCATGTACAAGGAAGAAAAAAAACCCATTGAGATTCCGTATTTATCAAACCAGTGCCAGCATACTTTTTTTTTTTGTTGAAATATAATGTAAACAAATCTTCATTGTTTATTGTCTTATGTCTCTGTTGTTTCCTGTGTCTTTGTTGCAGCCGCCGGTGGTCTGGCTCATCTTTCTTCTGATCAGAACCATCTAAATGTCTCCATTTCTGATCACGGAGCTTGGACCACAACCATGAGCAGTGCAGGAATAGTCCCTGTGAATCTCAGTGGACAGCAGCTGTTTTCAGGTACCGTCCCCTGCTGTTCAGAAACTACCACTGCAACCTATTTTGTACCAAGGACCAGTCAGCTGGTATCAGCCGTTACTGCGGACCGGTAATACCGCACCATCGTTGAAGGATCATTACATTTTCCAAATAAAACATCTTTTAGACTTTATTCTGTTAGTATCAGAGTCTGAATGACCCGTTGTTTTGAAACATTGACAGATTATCTTTGAATGAAAAGAGTAAAGGGATGAGACAGGATTATTTTTGAATGAAGTAAATATGTAAATCCTTTATTTTAACTCTATCCCACTGCGGCCTGGTACCAAATAACCTACTGATCGGCACCGGTCCCCAGACCAGGAGTTGAGGACACGTGCATTAGAGCTAAACTTAACATACTCTATGGACTTTTCTATAATACTGCTTACTTTAAAGGCCAGTATTTCCAGTGTTTTTAGTGTTTTTGTCAGCCACGGCACATATAATGTAATGAATTATGATGATCTTCTTGTCTGATTTAATCACATTTTACTTACTTTTGCCTGCTTAGTTGAACACAATGCTGATATAGTTGCAGGAATTGAAGAAAGACAGCTTTGAGTTTCTCTTTCTTTTTAGTTTGTATGGCCATCTGCTCCCACCCAGTGGAAGAGTAATAAACTGCTCAGTCACTGTCATAGACGATGGGAGACAAATGTTAGCGGTTCATAAATAATAGTTTTGGGACCAATTAAAATATATTGGATCATTTTAAACGGTACATCTCATGATCTCTCATGACACATCAATGTGTTTCAGGACAGTGGATGGAAATCATTTAAATGATTATCATTATCTCAACAAACAGTACAAGACACAACCAACTGGAATAAACTGAAGTCAAATATGAAACAAACATTTTTTTGGATTATGGATGGTTTTATGGATTTATTCAGGATTGACCTTTTTTTTTTGATTGGCTACAATTTTATTTATGTCACTGACACTAACATTATTTGATGAGCTGTGTTTTATTGAGAGTAATGTAGATTTCAATGGTGTTTTTTATCAGTCTTCTAGCTTTTATGTTTGTGTATTTCTTCCATTCCTTTTCTTTCTCTGCCTTTCTAGCAGACATTTTGTGTTGGGAATCAAAAGAAATTAAGTTGCTGCTGGTCTAGTCTCACACGGAAAAAGCAGCAGCGAGTGAATATGATGGATGAGCAGCACAAAAGCGTTAATTTCACCTGTCACAGGTTATCTCAGAGAGTGCTGTAAGGACTTTTCTTCAGACCCCAGGAAATTCAGAGCAGTGATTTATGGGAGTTTCCTTTTTCACCTAAGGTCGTTTTTCTTTTTTTTGTCTCTTCTTTTCCTTCTCAGATAAAAAGTCGCAGTGTTTGGTTTTGGTCTGCAGAAAATTGTTTGACAGACTCACTGTCTCCTGATGACACAAGCAATTAGAAAGAAGACAAGTGTGCTTCGACAGGTTCTATCTGATTTCAGAATAAAAGCTGAGGCATTATACATTTCAAGGAAGAAAGCAGATGTATGGTAGATATTTTTTTTATAATAAACCAGCTTCCTGTGGCTCAAAAAAATGTCTGTTCCCAATGTGGATTGCAGGAAAATCCCTCTTTTATTTTGTGTTAAAAAATTCTAATATTTAAGCAGTGTATTTGCAGACACATTTGTCATGACATGCTTGCTGTTGCTGCAATGTTCCGACAGCAGCAAAAGCAGCAGCAGCGCATTGTTCTCTTTCGCACCCTCCTCTGCTTCATTCTGTTTTCTGGCAGTGTAGACCACTGCAGTGATCACAATCATTGCTGTCTCCAGCTTTCTGTTTTCTCTCTCTCTCTCTTTCTCTCCCTGTACTGGAGAAGGAGTCAAATAGAGGGCAACGGGGCTTTCTTGGTTTTTAGAAAATGTTTCAGCTCTTTGCCTTCTTCACTGCTAACTAACTGCTGGAACTAATATGGTTAATAATCATTTTTCACAACCTGATCCAACATCCTGCCATGGATCAAGGCTAGGTTACCGTCTTTGTTTTGCTATGACTCTCTTTTAGCGACTGAGCAGCTAATACTAGGCTAAATACCAGGCTAATACTAGGCTAAAAACTAGGCTAAATACAGCCATCACTTAGAACTGAAGAGATGGAGAATCTAGCTTTTACAAATGGAATAATTAATTAGGTAAAATGGGGATTTCTCCCAGACTTTATTGCATGTGAACTATGCTGCCAATAAATACCGTAATTTCCGGACTATTGACCGCACCTGAATATAGGAAAAATATAATTGTACATATATAGGCCTCTTTATAAGCTGCAAGTATCCACATTGTAACATGGGATATTTACACAGAATTGTTTTTTTTACTGTTAATTAAATAAATGCCTTTTTCCGAGCTGTGCCTTTAACATAGCTGGTTACACGTTAGCTCTTTCCTGCTTCAGCGCCCCAACCATAGTTGGAATGCACACATATATATATATATATACATATATATATACATATACATATATATATACACATATATACATATACACATATACATATATACATATATATATACATATACATATATATACATATACATATATATATATATACACACATATATATATATATACATATACATATATATATACACATATATACATATACACATATACATATATACATATATATATACATATATACATATATATATACATATATATATACATATACATATATATACATATACATATATATACATATACATATATATACATATACATATATATATACACATATATACATATACATATACATATATACATATATATATACATATACATATATATACATATACATATATATATACACATATATACATATACATATACATATATACATATACATATATATACATATACATATATATACATATACATATATATATATATATATATATGTATAACATCATGATTGAAGCTCAAACTGCTCTCAACTTTCGCTACCGTTATCTCTCTCGCACGCCACCCGCACATAGCACACGGCCATTCATAAAGTGAGAAACGCTACTTGTATAACACACAGTAGTCTTCCAGAAAAGTCATTGATTGCTAGCGGTATGAACTTCACTAGCCCATATAAATAACATAAATTAGCTGCAGCATTGTTTAAGCCGCAGGGTTCAAAGCGTGTAAAAAAGTAGTGACTTATAGTCTGGAAATTACGATATATATTACTCCAGGTATATAAGCTGTTGAGATGTTTGTGAAAAACTGTTTGAAGAAGCGTTTTGGTATATTGTAAAGTATATTGCACTCTGACAAGTCATGTATTTCGTTGCTTCTATGGCATGTTCAACGGCTTAGACTGACGAAAGCAAAGAGCAGAAAATAATCACTGCTTCACTCTGTCTACTACAGAGGCATTGAAGCCAGTTTTCACACAGGATACCTAGGGGTGTTACTACTCATGTCGTCATTTATTACGCCATCGGGGGGAGTCATTTAACCACACCTATCAGACAATCTCTGGCCAACTTCAGTCACAATTTGTTGGTAGATCCTAGATGGCTGTATCTGTATCATAAAGCCGGACTAGGGAACCATCAAACTGACTGCAGGGTTTCTGAAGCCGAGACTCAATGGCAGTATGGCTCACCATTAGACCCCTGGCCTGGTCTTTAGGCCGCACAGGACAGGATCTTAAGCCATCTTGGTCGCGATAGAAACAAAGGCCGCTTGCCACCGTGTACCTCCACTCAGAAACTGACAGGTGGGCTCAATCAACTTGCTCAGGTTCTCCCTGTTGAAACATGGCAGGAGGCATCTGAACTGGCACAGGGGATTTTATTTTACTAATTTCTGATGGAGCAGATGCCAGCCAGGTTGATAGATTAGGTCAGGCAGGAGGCTCCATGGACAATTTGTTTGCAGATGACATTGTAATAAACATTGTATTAAACATCCACTATGACAAGGGGAAGGCATATTCTGCAGATGATTTAGAATCAGACTGACAAAAAAAGACTATTTTTGGAAATATCTGCTGATAGGATATTGTTCAGGATAGAGGTATTCACAAATCTATTACAATATTCACTTGTTGAATAACACTAGGAAGCTGTGTTTTACAAAAAACCTATAAAAATCTTCTGTGCTCTTTTTCAGACTCTGTCCAGAGGTTCGATCCTGGTCATTGTCTCATCACACCCATAAATCCCATGATGGCCGGAATCAGTTTAATTTCTTCTCCTCCTCCTCCTCCTCTTCCTGATATTGCGGTCATTAAGGAGATTATTCAATCCAAGAGCTGCACACTCCTTCCCCAGAACCCAGGTGAGACAGAGATACACATAAAGACACATAAATAGAAGCACAAACTCCATGCAAACTTCATGCAGAAGGTCCATCACCGTACCAAGGAGAATAAAACCGATACACTTCTTGCTGTTAGGCAAGAGCACTAGACACAAGAAGCTAACAAATGATCGAAGATGTACTAAATGAAGCTTAAAAAAAAGGTTGAGTGCAATTGATAGCAATTGATAAATAGCTTAAATGTGGTTAGCTCAACATACTTGTTGAAAGTTACTCACCAATAACTCAATGGTAGATAACCTACCTTTTTGTTTCCTTCAGGAGTCCCCACAACGTACCATCTGTCTTCATCTAACCCTGCCTCTTCTGCTTTCATTCCAATTATCTCCATGTCCTCTTTTCTTCTCTGCTCTTGCCTGGTAACTTCATCTCTAACATCCTTTTTTTCCCGACATGTTTACCATCTCCCCTCAACACGACCAAACCATCTCCACTTCTCCTCTCTAACTGTATCTCCAAACTTCTTCATCTTAACTGTCCCCCTTGATCTGCTAACCCTATCCATCCTGGTCACTCTTAGTGAATGGTAACCATAGATGACCTGGTAAACAGCAAAAAAAATTATGCTAATATCGCACCAATATTTTCAGACATCCCTACTTAACCTAGTAACATTTAAACTATCTTATATAAATGAGATGATTTGGCTATAGTTGGAAGATAATGACAGTGGGACTAATGTTGATATTTTTGCCAGAGCAGAACTTCCTCCACCCTCAACTCGAGAGCGCCCACCGGGATGCCGGACAGTTTTTGTCGGAGGTCTGCCCGAAAATGCCACGGACGAAATCATCAGGGAGGTCTTTGAGCACTGTGGTGAAATCACTGCTATCCGCAAAAGCAAGAAGAACTTCTGCCACATCCGTTTCAGCCAGGAGTTCATGGTTGACAAGGCCCTGTATCTGTCAGGTACCTATAACCCAGAAGATTTCCCAGCCTGGGGTAAAACTAGGAGTGGCTGTTTTGGAAGTTCTTAGAGCTTACATTTACACATAATTTGGGGAGATATTTCTTTATTTGTTCCAATTTGTAATGGGAATGGGCTCTGTCAAGTTGAGTGGTTGGACATGTCACCCATGTTTGACTTATTTTCCATCTTTTCGGAATGGCAGGTCCAATGAACGAGTCTCCTCCACTTAAGGCGTGCAGTTATTCTCATCCTCTTCCTTTCTCTCTTTAGCTCTGCCATCTCAGCCATTCCTTATATTTTCTTTGAAATCCCAGTTTATTTACATCTGTATATGTATGTGAATATTAACATATCAAGGGCCTCTGAGTAGGTTACAACTAATGTTTTTATACCTTGGCTTGGCGAAGAGGAAACTTTTAAACCTTCCGTTGTCCTTCGCAGTTTTTGAGCCTCGCAACGGGTTTGCATCCTGTCCTAGAATTAGAGTATGAGGAAAAGTTGGCACATTAGTTCTCACTTATGTTCTGTCGTGCCCCCCCTTAGGGACAGAAATGTTTTCACACCCCCTGCCCGTGCCCCTCTGACCCACACCCTAGCAAATTGAAATACTATTAAGAACCTAATAATGTTTTTTTTTTGTTTTTTTTGTACAAACCACTGTATGAGTTACTGCCACC